AAGAAAAGAAAGAACGAAGGGAAAAAGGAAGGACAGAAAGAAAGGAAGAAAGAAGAAAAGGAGAGAAAAAACAAGCAAGCAATGTGAAAGGTGTGAAGGAAGAGAGGGGGAAAAAAAGTGGAAGATAGAAAGGAGAGAGAACAAGAAAGTGAGAAGAAAATTGCAGGAAATAGAAGAAATAAGGAAAGAAGGATAGAAAAAAAAAAAAAGAGAGAAATAAAAGTAAAAGCTCTGTCTTGGCAATGCAAACAGTGGCATCAGTCCAGCCAAAGCCCATAGATGCACGCGAATTTCTCCCAGTTTTACATCTGTACTGGTGACCACAGGTACTGGAGAGGGCAGGACCCTCTGGCTGCACGGGGCTGATCCATCCCGATTTTCCAGCAAAAGGAGACATCGCTGGGCTCAAACTGGCCCAGACCAGCCCCACCTGCCCTCAGGTACCTCATTCACCAGGTTATTCCATAAACACAAAAATTCTGTCATACACTCTTTATTTACACCTGGAAATCCAGTTCACAGAGGTCCAAAAGACCAATTTTTTAGTACCTGACTAATCAAAACCCCATCAAATTTGTAGCCTTTTWAAAATTTCCAGTATTGAACCCCAAGCAGAGCATTGTGGCTGCCTTAAAGCTCCTTTTTGGGTGAATTTGGGTGAATTTTTTTCATGCCTGTTCTCGTGTGTTCAGCCTGCAACACAAGGAATTTTTTTCTGCTTTTTTTCCCAGGGTTTGGATTCATCTGATTCATCTGTCCCTCCCATTTTTAAGGTGTTTTCCCAAATTGTGGGTGTTKCAAGCAAGAGCTGCATTTTGATTGTATAAAAAACCAGATTTTTTTTAACTTCTTTCACTGAAATATTTTATTCAGCTCAGTAAAACAGATTTTAGAAGTGATTCAGGCACATCCAAGAGACTGATTTAATTTCATAATAATTTAATAATTTAATACTAAGATATTGTAGGCCAGTTTGCTTCCCAAGTGAAAGATAATCCCCATGGAATCCATAAGAACTGATGCTAAAGGCTGCAGTGTGTGGGACAGAAGAGAATTTGGAGCAAATTTCAGCCCTGTAAGAATGGAACTGGCAGGAAAGGTGCCACCTATCAAAAACTCCTCATTTTTTTCAATGCAAAGYACCCTGATTTCTGCAAAAACAGCTCAGGAAGCAAATCCACGGAAGGAACAGCTTTGCTGAGCGTGGCTGGAGGGAGATGTAGGTGGTCTAGAAGGATCTCAGCCCTGCTTCGCTAATGGATTAATTAACACCGCTGCTGTCCCTCCTTCATTTTCCCTTCCTCAAAGGGAAATTTGGGCTGGGCATTTTTTGTGACAGTGGCCAGGCAGTGCTGACCCTCCCAGCCCATCCCCAGCACCCTGAATGTCCCCCCAGGGGCYGATCCTCAGCTCCCCGCGGACACAGCGCAGTCACCGCGAGTTTGTTTTTTTTTTGTGAGTAGGAAATGCAGGAATGAGCTTCAACCATTCCAATCCAGCTCCGCATGGGTGGTCTGCTGTGGCTGGAAGGGTTCCCACCGGCTCCAGCAGCACTCAAAGGCGGTGTAAAGGCTCTTCCCAAACCCCACTGCAGGACCAGAGCTCCACACCCTTTTTTTTTGGGATGCTTACGAGCGGTAAGGTGAAGCCTCACCGCAGCCTTTATCCCAAAATGCTGATATTAATCCAAATTTGGGAATCGCTCAGAGCTGGAAGGGGGAAAGATTCCTGAACTCAGCCTTTGTGAAAAAAACTCAGGTTTTTTTTTTGAGAAAAGGAGTTTGTGTGTGCCCGGCTCCATCTGCAACCGTTCAGAGAGGAGCACCCGAATTTGTTCCGCTGTTTTTGGGTTGGCGCAGTCACAATGAGGATCCGCAGCACCCGAGCCAAAGCACAGCACAAACCAAACTCCAAAAGGCATTTCCCCCCTTCGCCGGCACGCTTTAAAAYAAACCCTCAACGCTGTTTCATTGTTCCCATGACCCCTCCATCCCACTCCGCTCAGGAATGTCGGGATTCTCAAAGTCCTTCCCTGTTCTTGGGGTAGCTGTCGAATGCTCTAATTCTATAAATAATAAATCATGCGAACAAATCATTTTTTATCCTATTAAAGAAGAGCAAGGAGGGAACTTTCGGGAAGCCGGCAGACTGGGAAACCCACGTAGAGGCTGGATATTGTTTTATTCACCAGCAGCCAATTTTAAATGGAAAAATAATTAATGTGGGCATTAATGTAATTTTTTGTAAAATGTTATTTTACAAAAAGCAGGGTGCGTTTTTATCCCCAGCCATACGACGTGACAGAAAACCCACGGTATTTGTATAAAGCGAGCAGCAGYCTCACATAAATGCTCCAGCACAGCCTTTTTTATGTTTAATTCCACAAATAAGCCGGGCCCGCACTGACCTTTCCTCATCCTGCCCCCCCAACTTCGCCTTCGAAGCGTTTTGACCCCTAAGCGCTGCCGTAGCCGCTGCGCGCGCAGAAAGGGGGCGTGGCCAACGCGGAGGCTCCGCCCCTCGGCGGAGGGAGCGCGCGGGAGGGGGCGTGGCCGTGCGGSGRTGACGTCACGGAMCGGAGGGCGCACCGGAGGGGGCGCGGTCTGGCGGCGGTGACGTCATCAACCGGAGGGGGCAACCGTGAGGAGGGCGCGGCTGTGACGTCACGGGGCGAGGGGCGGGGTTTCAGTGACGTCACGGGGAGGGAGCGGGCGGGGATGGCGGTGACGTCACGGCGGCGATGGCGGGGCCGGGCCGGCGGTTCCCGGTGCCCTCAGAGCCCCGCGGCGGGGCCGCCTCCAAGTGGGACATCCGGGAGAAGGTGTGGGAGCACCTGGAGGCCGCCGGCCTGGCCGAGTTCCCGCGGCCCGTGCGCGGCCGCATCCCCAACTTCAAGGTACGGCGGGGCTGGGCCGCCTCCTGCTCCTGCTGCTGCTGCTGCTGCTGCTCCCTCAGCCGCCTCGGGCCCTGCCCGCCCTGCAGCCCCGAGCCCAGGCCGCCAGGGCCCCCGTGGTTCCTCACAGTTCCCCGGGCCAGCACCCCACAGCCCTCAAAGGAAAGAAAACAAAACCACCTTGTGAATTATTACAGAATGGCACAATGGTTTGAGGTGGGAGATTAAAGCTCATTTTGTTCCTCCCTCTGCCATGGGCGCAAACTCCTTCCACTATCCCAGATTGCTTCAAACCCCGTCCAGTCTGGCCTTGGATCCTTCCAGGGATTAACAGAAAATTAACATCCCTCAATGAAAATCTGGGTAAAACAGCTTCTGTAGTGGGTGAATGGTGATACATTGTCCATCTCTGCTGTAAACTCCTCAGTGATACATTATTTTATGCAAACAGGGTGCCTCCCATGCTGCCACGAGGCTTCTGAGCTTGCAGGAGTTCAAAGCTGCCACTACTGTAAAAATAAATCCTGATGCTCCCCAGAAGAATGCTCGCTTCCTAACGCTGGGAGTAAGTGAAAAAAAATGTTCTCCTTTCGGTTCCTTGCCTCCCTCAGGGCTCTCTGCAGGCYTGCTGCTCTCTGAGGGACATGGATGTGTTCAGCAGAGCGCGGGAGGTGAAGGTGGATCCTGACAAACCTCTGGAAGGTGCTCGGCTGGCAGCTCTGCAGGTAACGGCACTTCTGCACCCCCAGGAGGAGCTGGGAGGGGACAGAAAAACTCATCTTCAAGAGTTTTTATGTGGAGCTTATTTGTGGACTTTGGATCAAGAGGTATCGTGGAATGATTTGGATTGGAATGGATTTTAAAGATCAGCCCATACCACCCCCTGGCATGGACAGGGACACCTTCCACTAGCCMAGGTGACTCCAAGCCCTGTCCAGCCTGCCCTGGAACACTTCCAGAGCACCCACAGCCTCTCTGGGCACCCTGTGCCAGGGCCTCTCCACCCTCGCAGAGAGGAATTCCTCCCAATATCCAATCTAACACTGCCCTCTGCCAGTTTGAAGCTAATATCTCTTGTAAAGCTATTTAGAGAGATGGCTTTAAAAAAGGAATGTCTTTAAAGATATGTCCTCAGATATCTTCGAAGGTTAAAAGTATGTATTTCATTTTATTTCTTAACTAAACCTTTTTCTGGAATTTTCCTATATTGGAGGGAATTAGTCTTACAAGCACTATGCAATCAACAACATTAACTATAATTGAACAAATGAAATATTTGGCCATATCATTTTAACTCTGTGACAGTAAAAATATTYCTTCAGTGTGAAAGGAGCCTTTTAATGTGGTTCCCCAGGCAAGGAAGACTTTGCTGGTTCCCACACCACGCCTGAGAACTGGGCTGTTCAATAGGATTGTTCCCCCTCCAGGGGCGACCAAGGAGATCCTGCGAAGATGTGCCACATCTCAGGTGGGAATGAGGGATCAGGGAGGGCTGAATTAATTTGTGGGATGTTGTGGTGGTAGACAGATCAGCTAAAAATTGAAAAACGACAGATAATCTTTCTGCTAGGACATTATTCCTGGGTTTGTGTACACAACTGCCATTAATATCATCTAAATAATGAGAAAATTTAGGCTTAGCAGAATGGTATTGATGTATCTCCCCGCTTTGTGGAATAGAGTGAGCAACTTTTAAAGGTGAGTTAGATCTTTATCCATGCTCCTGCATTTTGCAGTTTTGGGCTGCTGAACCCTCTTTAGGAATATTTTAGTGTTCACAGTTTTTTGCATCATCTCAGTAGAATATTATGTGTTACCAGATAAGAAAAATGAGTTYTTTTAAAATAAAATATCCAAAGAAACCTGAATTGTGGCATTTGCATCAAGTGAGGCACGAACAGTGGTGAGGTTTGGGTTTGCAGCGTGGTCTCTTGCTGCCCTCTCGTGTTACAATTTCAGACTGTGCAGCTGAAGGCTTTTGCCAGAGAAACCTGGCCGAGTTTACATCCGTCTTTATTTGCAATGAAAACCCCACTTGTACAGAATGAATCGGTCACTATATAGATTTATTTCTTCCTTTATCTCCTGCTAAAGGCAATAAAATCCTGCAGTAACTCCATAAACAACTGAGGTTGTAAAKAGCTGGTAATTAGTAGTGACTTTCTTTGTTGGAAGTTCTGTTGGAGTCATTAACTAATTAAGCCTTTCARGGCTGAAGAGCACTTTTGAAAGAGACCTTTCTCTTGGCCTGGTGTCTGATCTGGGATCTTAGCACCATGTGTCTGGTTTTTCCCCCAGCCCACTAATGAAAAAATGCTGCTGGCAGYTTGTATTTACAAAGCACTGTGCAAACAATCCTTACCACACTGCTGTGAAGTGGCTAATGGGCATTATTGATGATAGTCAGCCACAAATTACTCAATTTTGGGGGTTTTTGCTCTACACAGAAAATCTTTAGTTCTTTATTGCGATTTTAATGTTGTTAATTTATACTGAGCAAAAGGTTAAATTGGTCTGAGGAGCRTTTGCATTGTGCTGTACACATAAATTAAGAGCAGTTGAATCACAAGATACTTTTTTAATAGTTCTGAACTTCTGATATTTAAAAGCACAAGCAAACATAATTTTTAATTTCTGCAATCTGGACCGAATTTTGTTAAAATGAGAACAGATTGAAGAGGGGTTGGTGGGGTTGGGCTGGCAGAGAAGGGAAGAAAAAAAACATTGTATCACTTTGTGTAACATTAGATTTCTTTACAGCTGTCTATGTCTAAATTAACTTTTTTATTTGTATGTGAGAAWTAAATCAAGCGTTTGTAGTGCCCTGGTATTCCTCAAGTTAGGGTAAGGAAGGGTGGGTAGGTAGGAGGTATCATTTGCCCTCATTTTTAAGAACAGATTTCAAAAAAAATATTTCTAAATATCAGGTTTTGATCCTAAATAAATAACCTTGCTTATAAAAGTGCCCACCTCCCTTAGCTCTCCTTGCAGCGTGCCAAAATTCTTGTCACTGTAGTAGGGAATCTATTCTAGGATTCCCTAGGGGACAACTTTCCAGACATGTACAGCTTGGCTATACATGGAAGAGACACTTTGAAACGTGGGGAGTTACTTGGATTTATCAAAATATCCTGGATTTCTGCCTCAGTGCTTGGAAAACTCTGCAGTCTGCAAACCTCAAATGCTGTTTTTCCTGCAGGGTGTAAAAGAGTACAGTGTGCCTGTGGGGCTGGATGGGAAAGCACGAGTGGACTTGGTTGTTGTGGGATCAGTGGCTGTCTCTGAAAAAGGTAAGGAAAAGCTTTCCAGGAGAAAGGCCCCAAGTTCCAATCCACAGTGTCAGTGAGGCCACAGCACGTGGCAGAGACAGATTTATCCTTGGAGCTGAATTGTGGCCTTGAGTTCTRCCTCTGTGTGGCAAATCCCTGCTCCCAATCCAAGCAGGAAGAAGCAATGCCTGAAGGATGCAGTGGGCACTCAGCAGTGTGGGTCACAGCATGTTTTGGCCTTCAGGAGAACTACTGAGGCAAGCAATTATTTTTATTTTAAAGGAATCCAGACAGGCTCCCTGTTCAGAGATGTGCTCTGCTCACTCAGTGTGTGTGGATGGACATGTGTTAGACCTGCTGATTCAGTACCCRTTTGGGGATCAGATTTTGCATTTTCTAGTATTTTGGAAACCTGCTGGTGCTGAAAATTTTTCCACTGACTTTATCCCTTGCCTAAAATAACAGGGTTTTTTGTGTGTGACCCAGCCTCCTCTTTACCCACATTAACCTGTGTTGGACATGAGTAGAAGGTTCTAAATACAATGGCTAAATAAGCTGCTGTGTTAACTGCATTAAATTTGTTTATTCGGAATGGGAAGCTTCTGGGATCCTTTAGGAATTCATTGAATTGGATGTTTTATTTCATTCAGTGCTTATTTCAAGGAAAGTTGCATTCTGTGACAGATGCTGATACATTTTTTTTCCAGAGTTACAACTTGATTTATCTGTTGCAGACTGCACTCTTCAATTACATGATTTTAACAACAGCTTCCCACTCTGCTGTTTGTTTTTCCACTTTCCTGTGCTTTAGGCTGGAGAATTGGCAAAGGGGAAGGTTATGCAGACATGGAATATGCAATGATGGTGTCCATGGGGGCAGTGCAGGAGGACACACCYGTAGTTACCATTGTGCACGACTGCCAGGTGAGTTCAGATGTTAAAATATCCCCTCTCCAGTGGGGAGGGAACTCTGTGACACTTCCTGCTCTTTCTGAAGAGGAGGCAAGGAAGGATGTTGGTTTGGCATCTTTGTCCCTATTGTCTTTGATGGATTTTCATGTGACAGGACATCAGGAATGGTGCACAATTGTAGGGAGTTTGTTTTTAACTGCTTAGCAAATTTCTTGGTCCTTGTAGGTGCTTGACATAGCAGAAGAGCTCCTGGATGATCATGATTTAACTGTGGATTACATTCTCACTCCAACAAGGACTATCCAGACGAATTGCAAGCGACCAAAACCTCAGGGAATAATGTGGCACAAGGCAAGTTAAACCTTAACTATCAAGTTAAAGCTTAAACTTCTGCTAATGCTGTCTTACTGGTACCAATATTCTGTTGATAAACCCACCATTTTTATATAAACACTTTTTTTTATTAGAAATGCTCGGGAAAAGGGCGGATGTATTTGTCAGGTGAAACAAAACAACAGCATTCATTTTCAGTGTGTTTTAAGTGGTAATGGTGAGGAGCAGAAATATATCCCTGCAGCTGAGGTTGCTGTATCCAATGGATTGTCATGGGGTGGCTGCTCCATCCCTGGAAGTGCGCAAGGCCAGGTTGGATGGGCTTGGAGCAATCTGGGATAGTGGAAGTGTCTTGGGGGTTGGAGCTGGTGGGCAGAGGGTGTGCTGCTCTGGCTGTGAAAGGAAAACATGGCCTGCTGGTGGCACATTCCTGTTTCTGTAGTGTATTAACTTTCCAAGGATAAATCTGTGTCTGGACCTCATTTTCAGGTGGAAGAACAGTGACTTCAAATATGAATCCTTATTTATTGATAGTTCTTCTATTATGGATTTGGCCTTTCCCCTCTGCCCAGTGTCAGAAACTTCCTCAGCTTCCCAAATAGTTTCAGAGAAATCTTTAGTGAAATGTTTTACTGGAAGTTCCTGMTGGGAAAACATTTTCTTTGTCATTGGATTTCCATTCCTAAAATCACCCAGTTAGGGAGCAGACACAATCCTGCATGGTTGAGTACAGGAGGAATGCTGAAATGAGGAATTGTGCCCTCATATCTTGCAGAAACTGAAGAATTCTAAGGGAATACTTCCAGGGAAATCAAAAGTTGTTTGTTAAGAGTTGCCAACCAACAAAAAGAGTTAAATTTCTTTAGGTAATGTATCTACAACAAACAAATTCTAGCCAGGACTATTTTTATTCCAGTGGTGGGAGAGCATTYTGCCCTGCCTGTGGTTGAGGATTTGAGGTTATAAATAAATAAATAAATAACAATTCTGTCTGCCCTAGTGCATTTTTTCCATTGAATTATTTTTGAATTGTCATTTTTTTAGAATATTATTGAATGTAATTGTGTTGAAGGCCTAGCCCTTGTGCTCCATCCATCTTGCCAACATATTTGTGATCAATTTGTCTGTTTTAGTGTCAGACTTCTCAGTAAGTGGCCTTGCTAACACTTCTTTATTTCTTTTTCTGTGCCTTTAGCAGAAACTGAGTTTTCTGCAGCTTTCACTGAGAATGGAGCACGATTGACCCTTTATTTGGATATTTGAGTGTTGATTTAACACATCAAGCTGGGTTTGGCTGTTTTATAGAGTATGTGGTGATTAAATAGGAATATTGGATACTACCAGGCAGAGCAGGGATAATCATCACATTTCTGTCTTTTGGGGACCAGAACAGTGCTGTGTGTATATGAAAAAGAAATTACCATTATTGCACARGGAAATGAGTGACATTTATTTTGTTTTTACCTGTGGGGGTACCTGGATGTTCAGCTCTTGCACAGAGGGTTTTGGAGGTGGGAGGTCTGGTTAATCACCAGGGTGTAAAAAAGGTAGGATTTGATAGGGGCTATTTAAGTGTTTGTCCTCTGGATTTTCCTGGCTACTTCTCCATCATTTTCTCTCCATCCTTTTCTCCTTCAAATCCTGGCTTTGCTGGTGCATTCCTGTTCTTCAGAGCAAAACTAAATGAGCTAAGAGGCAGAGAATAAATAAATCATCCACTTCTAAATATGGTGTTTTGTCAACAGAGAGTAGCTTAACCTCATTGTGAAGATGCATGAGGTGGAAAATACRTTGCAAAAAAGTTGATCCTCGGGGACAGGGCTGGATCAGGCCAAGACAATGTTTGGGAGCTTGAATTRCAGGTGTTTGCAAACATGGGATTAGAGCTGAGGATTGCTGTAAGGATGTGCTGTCAGGATAAACCAGGCAGTATGAGAAGGAGGTGCTTCCACAGCAGACAAATCCGTGGCTCCAGGCTACATTTCCATGCTGAAGGAGGGGCTGCATTTCCCTGGAGTGCTTGTGTTTGTTATGTGCTGTTAAACAACTTYCAAGGAAGTGTAAGAGCCACAATATCATCAGTAGCAAAGGATCTTTATCAACATCCACCCAAAGCACTCTAGAAACCCTTGCAGATCCAAAAGCAGTGCTGAGGGGTGTTTTGGGRAAGTTTTGTGCCTCTGAGGTCAGAGTTTGGAGACATCAATATGAGTTATTGGAGGACAGCAAGAGCTGCTGAGAGCTGAGCACTCTGGAAAACTTTATTTGGATGCCAGTGGAGAATTATTTGGCTTCATCTGTCWTGAAAATCTAACCCATTGTTTCGGGGAACTCTAAATTCATGAAACTCCTTGCTTTCTCATTTAGTATTTTCTATGGGTAACTGTGATCTTTATCTGGGACACTGGCTATTATATTTGTCACAATTATCGAGTTATTTGTGCTGTGCTTATTATAAATTGAAACTGTGCAGACAAATTAAAATATTTGGGTTCATGAAGAGGGAAATGAGAGTAGTTGGTGGAAAAATCACTATTTTCTAGCAAGCATTTCCTTCTGGTTTTGAAATCATTCTTTTGCTGAGAAATTTATAGGAGCAGGAGAAGATTTTTCCTGAAATGAAATGAACTGAGGGAAATCCCTGGGTCTAATGTTGAAACAGTGGCAGAGAGGGAAACCCTCTGACAGCAAACAGCTTTGATTTGGGTCTGTGATACAATATTTGGAAAAGAAAGCTCAAAAAATTTATACATCTGAGCTGGCAAATCCTTTAGCAGAAGGAAACTGCAGCCAGTGTAGCCAAGGTTTTGTTTTGTTGTGTTTTTTGGGATAGCAGGAGCAGGGAATGCTTCCACCCGTGGTTACACATCTCAACACCTTTGCCAGTGTGGCCCTTGCTGCAGAGCCCATRGAATCCTGTTGGCACGGGTGGATTCCAAATGTGGGTTGCATAAGTTCCTCCTGAGGGACACCAGCAGACTCCACGGGCTGCCAGCTCCCAGAAATATGCCCTTGGATTGTGTGCACATATTTGGACATTTTGTGCAAATGAATGATAAAATGTTCAACTGTGCTGGCCTTGCTGGCCTGGCCTTGTCTGTGCCTTAAATCCATGTTTGCTCAGTGCTCCTGGAAACAAGGACACAACACGAGAAGTGGGGTCTGTCCTGGAGGTCCTGATTTGCAGTCTGAGGTCTGAGATCACTGAGGGTGGGCAGAGATGGACCTTTCACACACCTTCTGCCCACCTGCTTGGAAGGGCTGATGGATCTACAGCACTGGAGAAGGTTTGGTGGTGTTTGCAGCCTTCCAGGGCAGTGGCATCAGTCTCTTAAATCTTAAAATCATGGAATGGTTGGGTTGGAAGGGACCTTAAAGCTCATCTTGTTCCATCTGCTGTGGGCAGGGACATCTTCCACTATCCCAGGGTGGTCCAAGCCTCGTTCAACCTGGCCTTGGACACTTCCAGGGATCCAGGGGCAGCCACAGCTTCTCTGGGCACCCTGTGCCAGGGCCTCACCACCCTCATAGGGAGGAATTTCTTCTGTATATCTAAACTGAATTTTCCCTTCTTTCATWCTGAAGCCATTCCCCTTTGTCCTGTCACTGATGAGCAGCCCCTCTCCAGTTTCCTTGCAGCCCAATCAGATCCTGGAAGGTGCTGTGAGGTCTCCAGGCTGAACAGCTCCAACTCTCTCAGCCTGTCCATGTAGGGGAGGTGCTCCAGTCCTCTTACCAACTTCGTGGCCTCCTCTGGGCTGGATCCAACATTCCATGTCTTTCTTRTGCTGGGGACACCAGAGCTGTGCACAGGATTCCAGGTGGGATCTCCAGAGCTCCTTGTGTTGCTGTGTCAGTGAGCTGGGGAGCTGTGGGAAGCAGAATGAAATAGCAGGATAAGCACAGCCTCAATGCAACCCAATCCAGTCCAACCCATTCCAATCCAACCCAATCCAATCCAATCCAATCCAATCCAATCCAATCCAATCCAATCCAATCCAATCCAATCCAATCCAATCCAATCCAATCCAAATCTGCCCTTCCCTGGCTGCCTCACTCCAGGATTGCACTGCTTCCAGGGAAATCACAGCGCTGTTTGCCTTGGCCTGGGCTGGAGCAGGGGTCAGCATTACTCACTCTGACAGAAGACAAACACATCYTTCATTCTCCCCAGCAAAATATTGAAAGTGCCTCTGATCACAGCTGTGGGGGAGCAGAGGGTGAGGGGATCCCCAGTGTTCCAGGAGGGATGTGCAGGAGTCCATCTGCCACCACGTTTTGGGATCAAACCAGGTGTCCTAAGAGTGGACGCTGTGGGTTAAGTGCTGAGAGATTTGTGTTGGCACTCAGCATCTGAGACTCCTTTCCTCAGGTTTCTGTCAGAAAGGGGCCACATTTCCCTCCCAGTAATTGTGTGCCAGAAGAATTTATCCAGCCTGCTGTCTTCTTTCCCCAAGGTTCTCCCAGCCATGGCACAGAGTAGGCAGGATTATTAAATGATTAATTGTTTTTGCTGCATTTATTTTTAACCCAAATCACTTCAGAGTTGGTGGCACAGACCCATGAGCCCTTCTGTTGGTCAACCCCAGAGGGCTGAAGTGTGGAACTGGTCTGGGAATTGGTGGTCAAGGGATAATTTGGGAATTTCTTCAACTTTGGTTTCAAAGCTAAATCCCAACACTCTATCCAGGGTTTAAAAACATCAATAAATGGTTTGGCCTTGATTTTATAGGGATGGGGGAAGCTTCCAGTGCTGGGTTTTTTCCATGTCCACAGGGCATGATCCATGGATCAGCCAGGCTTGGGGTGGAATGTCCCTTCCATTCTGACTTAGGCTAAAGCAGTAGGCAGGGATTGGGATCGGGTTTGGGATAAGGGATCGGGATGGGAATGGGGATAGGGATAAAGGATAGGGTTGGGGATAGGGATGGGGATAAAGGATAGGGATAAGGGATGGGAATTAGGATAAGGATGGGGATAGGGATAAGGGATGGGAATTAGGATAGGGATGGGGATAGGGATAAGGAATGGGGATAGGGAAAGGGATGGGCATTAGGGGTGGGGATGGGGGTAGGGATGGGAATTAGGAATAGGGATGAGGATGGAGATGAGGAATGAGGATGGGGATGGGGATAAGGGATAAGGGATGGGGATGCAGATAGGGGTGATAGGGATAGGCAAGGCTAGGGAGGGCTAAGCAGCCAGCACAGCATCCAGAAGTGTGCAGCTCATTTGAAAGAGAGGAGGAATATCTTTGGCCTCTCTCCACATRGAAATAAATCACTGCAGTCCTCCACAGCTCACAGGACAAAAGGAACTTTTTGCATGATTGTAATTAGCACCACATTGTACTACCACAGGGTTCCTTTGTTTGCTCTTTTGCAACAGAGCAGAAYAAGCTTTTTCCTCTCCCCTGCCACCCACTGCCCCCTTTGCCCTTTTAGTTCTCACCCCCAACACCCCAAAAACCCAATGAATTCATTTGTTGAATTGAAACTCCAAACTGAGTTTCTGCCTTTCCTTGGTATAAAAGTGGGGGGATATGGGGAAGGATTTAGAAGGTTTGAYCCAGCTGAAATGTTTTCCTAGACCCCAGGGAAAACAGCCCTTAAGGTAAATCCTGTCTGTCTCTTGTGACAGAGGGTGTCAATTGACAGTGTCAGAACCTGTCTAATATTTTTTATATATCTTTGCTAATACAAAAAAAACATGCAAGTCCCAGGTCAGCTGCCTTTGTTGCTTTGGTGAAGGTTGGYTCCTGTTGTGTCTGTGCAGGGCTGGGTTTTAAGGGATGACAGAATCACTTCATGGTGGCATTTGACCAGAACTTTAAAGAATCATAGCTCTTATAAAAATCACGGAATGACTGAGGTTGGAAAAAGCCTTCAAGATCCAGTCCAGTCTGTGACTGATCACCCAGACCAGATGACCAAGTGCCACATCCAGTTGTTCCTTGGACACCTCCAGGGATGGGGACTACRCCACCTCCCTGGGCAGTAATTCCAATACCTAATCACCCTTTCTGAGTGGAAATTCCTCCTAAAACATAAATGCTGTTGTCAMTCATCTTCCAGAGGTTACCAGGAGCCTGAAACAGTAGCTCCAAGAGCTCCAGCACGATGCCAGAATCTGCTTAGTGAGAGGAGACGCCTTGTTGAAGTCTCTTGGAGASTGTGCTGTTCCCTGGATTATCAAAACCCTGCCCTTGGATTGTCCTTGAAATCCTGGGGGTTTCACAGTTTATCYTCTCAGTGYCYATCYCTGATTGCCCTAATCTACAAAGCCCTGAGGGTTTGCCCTTGGCAGCATTTCCTTTTCTAACCAAACCCCCAGCCCATGCCTTGGCAACTGAGTTTAATTTAGGGATGAAAGGAACTGTAAGAACACTTGGGAAGAGGGTGAGGTTGTGCTTTGGGCTCAGGAGTGATTGGTTGCATGAGAACAGAAAAATGTTTTTCCTGTTTGGTTTAATTAGCATGGAGCTTACATTTCACATCAAAATTTGACAGAGGACAACAAATGTTCTTAATTGTTGGCCAGTACAAACAAAGTGAGATGGCTTCAGCCCTGGGTTTGATGTTGTATCACTCAGAGAAGGGGAGTTTGCTGTCAAACACAGCAGTTGGAATTCTTGGCTGAGAAAAACAAATTGGCCCGAGAATCCACTGAGTAATAACTCTGCAAAATGTGAAAATGGTCTGTACCTTTCCGAGTGTGGGGTCTCCTTGTTTGGAGCCCCAAAGCAAGTCCTTGCTATTTGATGTTGTGTTAGCAGAACTGGGACAGGCTTTATGCAAATTATATTTTTATTTAGTCCCAGCCTAAAATAAAACCTACTTGTTTGCTCTTCAGAAGATGAGCCCTGGAAACATTAGAATTTTGTTGACTGATTTCCCTGTTACCTAATCCAGACATTGCCCCCACTCTGTCTTGGCTTTTCCTCGAGTCACTTCAGAGCTGGCCTCCTGTCCTCAGAGAGCTGTGCATTTTAGACTTGATGTTGTGCAGATCTGAACTGGCTGTGACTGTAACTGTAGGACCCAGAATTCTGRGATGAGTGAGGTCTGAGCTGGGGGATCTGCAGGCGTGTGCTGGGTGGGATCTGCTGGTGCTGGTGCTGTTCCAGTCCAGCCTCCTRAGAGGTGGCACCCTGCTGGAGTGGCTTGCTTCCATTCTGGGTCTCAGCTTGCTCAGCCATCGCTTCCCCAGGCTCTGTTTTGCTCCCTAAATTTCACCATTGGATCTGGTGTTGATGGATGCTCGACTTGTCCAGCAGCCAAGTAGGAATTCCTCCTCCTTCCAAGTGCAGCGTGCAAGCCAAGAGCTCRACCACATGAGCTGGGGAAGCACTGCATTTCCTGCCAGGCTGAGTGCAGCCTGGGGCATCTCATGCCTCACATGGATGGGGTTCAGCTGTTGAGAGGAAGAGCCCTTCCAGAAAAGCTCCTTGGGAGCTGGGCATGGATGGATGGAAGGATGGAWGGAAGGAATAGAGGGCTCACAGTGTGAAGCGCAGTGTCTGAGCTCCAGCCCAGCACATCTTGTGGATCTGAGGAGCTGTGGGTGGTGTGTGAGGTCGGGTGGCACGGAGGGGATGTGCCCCAAGCAGGGAATTTGCCCCCAGCTGGGCTCACATCCATAGGAGCCCTGCTCCAAGGCACGCTCCCGCTCATTGTGTGACCCAGCCCACGGGATATCCTGTTCTGGGGGAAAAGAGCACCAGGAGCTCTGCAGAATGGAAGTGTCTGATGGATTGGGTGGGATTCTGCCAGGGCAGGAGCACAGGCCCTCMGTCAAAGCAAACACAGAGGAGAACACAGATCTGAAAGCGCTCGGGTAAATAAATGTCAAATTGGAGTAGTCCTGACTTTGGTTGCGATTTGCCTGCTGGATCCACATGGTGCTGTTTGCTTCAAGAGTCACTAATGTTTATTTTTGTCCTCCCGTGGGTATTTAGGGAGATACTTCCCAATCAGGCCAGCAATTAAGAACATTTGGAATGCTCTGGCACACGGCATGGCAGCAGGATAATAAGGTTCCTCTCTTTTTATGGCACAAATAGGCCCTGCTGCTCATCATYTTTTTCTGGGAGGTGAGAAATCCTTTTGTAATAATTATATCCATCTTCCTCCTTTTTAGGTCAGCTCTGARATGCTGGGAAAAATCCCCATCCTAAAGACTCTTCGATCCAGGGAGAAGCAGGCTGGCAAGGATGTCACCCTCCAAGATGAACACCCAGAAYTGGCAAACACCACCAGAGCAGCAGTTTCAAACAAGAAAGTGATGGCTGCAAATACCCAACCTCAGGCTGCTCCAGTGGGACAACCCCATGTGGAAAGTGATCCTGGAAATCCCAGATTGGAGGGATCTGACACAATGACCACTGTGTATGTGGGGAACTTRCCTGCCAGCCTGAGAGTGAGCGAGCTGAAAAGTGCTCTGAGGGAATTCCAGGTGACTCCTGTCCGATTGARCTGGCAGGGAGCACAGCACAGGGCATTCCTGGATTACAGGGATAAAGGAACTGCAGACAGAGCCRTGTCCTCCTTGCAAGGCCTGAGCCTTGGGGGCAATGCTCTGAGAGTGGAGCTGGCAAAGAGCCAGAGGAGCAAAGGGCAAGGAGAAATCAATAGTCACAAATGAGTATGGAGGAGAAAAAACAACAAAAAAAAAGGATGTTTTCAGTTTTTGTGAGAAGCCAACCTCTGTGATAGTGTGATATGATTCCTTTGCTGATGTGAAATTGTATTAATTACTGGAGTGGGAACAAAAAGCAGATACACCATGGTCAAAACTTGTCRGTGCCTTGTCTGGCATGGAATTCTTGGGCAAGTTGCTGGAGATTGTAGCAGATCCTGTTCCTCTGTGCCTTTATCACCATCTCTGTGGCTCTTCTACATCATCAGAGGTGAGGGTGAGACAGCATCACACAACTTCTCCAGGTGCAAGCACTCCCAGGCACTGGCCTGGACATGACCATTCCCCTCCAGTGTAAGGATAAATGCTCATTTATCTGGTATGGCTCTTATTACCTTTTTTGCTGCCTTTGGTTTCCTATTCCTGAAAAACAAATTGAATTTTGGCCGAGCCATCCTTTCTAAACAGAAGCACTTTTGCCAGTGATGCTGGGCGTGTAGTCAAAGTAAGCATCTAAATGAATTTCTTTTTTTTTTAAATAAGAGTTGGAAACTTTTTTTTTTTTTTTTTAGCCAGGGAGTACTGTTAAGTATATTTTAAGCAGGTTATTATGCCTCAAGGGTCAGACATTTATACAACATTAAATCAAAAGTTCTCATCATTATCAGGTGGCTCTGTAGGGGAAGGGCTCAAGGAAAGCATTGGAGCTGCAGAGCTGCATCCAGCACTGGGATCCCAACACAGGAAGGACRTGGAGCTGCTGGAGAGAGTCCAGAGGAGGCAGCAGGATGATCAGAGGGATGGAGCAGCTCTGCTGGCAGGAAAGGTAGAGAGATTTGGGGYTGTTCAGCCTGCAGGAAGGAAGATTTAGGGGTGACCTRATGGTGGCTTTCCAAATGGAAKGGGRCTCCTCCAGGTGRGGAGGGACATTGAAYRAGGGCCTGGAGGGACAGGACAAGGGRGAATGGCTTCAAACAGACAGAGAGTAGYRTTAGATGGGATATTGRGAGMAATTCTTCCCTGTGAGGGTGGGGAAGGGTGCCCAGAGMAGCTGTGGCTGCCCCTGGATYMCTGGAAGTGCCCAAGGCCAGGCTGGAYRGGGYTTGGAGCACCCTGGGAYRRTGGAAGGTGTCCCTGCCCATGGCAGGGGSTGGAACAAGATGATCTTTAAAATCCCTTCCAACCCAAACCATTCTGTCATTCTATGAACTTTTTCTAAGGTCAACAAAGGAAAGGTTTCTGGAAAAAATCAGTAGTTCCATTCCCTGAACTGCTCTCTACAGCTCCAAATGATTTCCAGTATCACTCAGTCCGAATTCAAACAAGCACTGCACAATCCTCTGGGTCTCATTTCWGAGCTTGTACATTCAAGGCTGAGAGTCAGGGGTTATGTTACTACCCAAACACACTCCCTGCATCATCAGCTTCCAAAGCAGAGGAAAGAAAAGCAAAAAAATAATTATCCGTCCCTGCCAGCCCCTTCCAAACGATGGCAAATTGAGTAATGCGATCATTTGCTGTTCCTTTTSACTCTGGGATATTTCTTGCTCTTGTGAAGATGTCCAGGTGACCTTAGCAGTTAAAAGCCAGAGACTCTGCCAATGAAAACTTCAGCATCTCAAACTTCCCCTGTTGCATTACAGCTGGCACCACCCTTTTCTGGTTAAATTTGTGGGATTCACATCCTCTACCTTGTTTCCTTTCTTCCCATCTAAAGTTTCAGTGCAGACCTGTTTATGTGTTTTGTAAATGTGGTAACTTTGCCTGCTTTCCTGTCAGCCCAGCCTGCAGCCAGTTTTGTTTGGACAAACATCTGGATGTTTTTCTGTTTGCAGTTGTGGTTCTGGGTGAAGCCCACAGGTGAGCAGTGCTGGCTCTGTGGCCAAAGCTTTGCTTTTTCCAGCCTGTCACTTTTTTTTTCTGTCATGTATTTCAAGGTCACATTTCACTGTATTTATCCAATATCCTGCTGCTTTCCCTGTTGCCAGTTAAACTCCAAACCACACTWGGGAGGAGATGCTAACTAGGGGTGTGCAACAGGAGGAATTTCTTCATGGAAAGGGTGATCAGGAATTTTAAGGGGCTGCCCAGRGAGCTGGTGRAKGTGTCCAAGGAAGGCCTGGAGGWGGCACTCAGTGCTCTGGGCTGGTGACAAGGYGGGCATCAGGCACTGATTGGATTTGATGATCCTGGAGTTCTTTTSCAWYCYTTATGATTCTATGAGCTGTACTTAGGAAGAAAAATTATTACTATAAGCTTAAGCTTATGAGCATTTTGAATGGACTGGAATAACAATGCAGCGATCCTGGTATTTTTGATCCATCTCAAAATCAGCAAATCACTCTGTGAAATCAGTGCAGTTTCTGCCTTGGACAGCCAGGGAAGCAGGGKCAGGGATTGGGCTCTTGGTGCTGCTCCTCTCCAGCTAAAAGACATTTTAATGCCAGATGCCAAACTGCTGTTGAATTAAATACCACAGGAGTGCCCAAGGCACAGCCCTGCACAGCCTTCTGGTGTCTCCAGCTGTATGATGTGGATTTTGTCTTGTGGGTTGACCMAAGTTCCTCCTGGAGGAAACAGCAGATTGTGTAGAAAAAGTGAATGRGGCAGTCTGCCCCTCTCAGATCTATTGTTCCAGGCTCTCTGCATGCTCAGGAAGRCATCACTTAGAGCAGAATGAGAAGGGATTCCTGCAAGTCTGCAAAACTCTGAAATGCAGGAGATTTCATTGATTCCTCGGGCTCTGATCTCATAAGAAATCACAAGGAATTGAAGCCTGATTGTTTTATCTTGGTCCAGCCCAASACTATGCAAGATACCAACCATCAAACCATAAAATCCATACTCTGGGGGATTTTCTGACTGAATTAACAGYCTTTAAAGAGGAGAATACTTACTTRAGTGATAATTYCTCATTCTGTACCTGCTCTAGCTGTGGTCTGTGCACAGAGATATAAAATGTGCTTCATCTCAGGTGGATCCTGGCCTGGTTTTACTGCTTAAGACTCATGATAAAAACATCAACAGTGGCAAAGCAGTGTCTGGATGCTGCAGAAAAGCCTCAAATGCTGCTGATAGATCTCTACTCTGCTTCTAATAGGGAGTGAARTGATCCCTAGCACAGCCTTGGGTTCAGCAGCAGCAGCAGAGCTGTGTGATGAGAAGAAACGTTCAGCAGTACAATGGGAAATGCTTTCCTGAGCCAACTTTGTTCAGAATAATTAAAACTGGGGGCTCTCTGTTCTCTGCACAGCCCGATGTCCTCGCCTGTCATGTGGTCAGGCACATTCTTTCCAGCTCCTTTCACAGCACAAACATTTGGGATGCYGTTGTTGAGCTGTTGTTGCTGCACTCCCCTCTTTTTGAGGGTTCAGTGGGGGAAGAKGCTGGTCTGGTGTGAACTCGTGGARCTGGGAGGATTTGGGATCAGCARTGACCACTGAGATTTTACATGAGGGATATGACCTCCCCAGGGTGATTTGCCCCTTCTCCCTCCTCTCATTTTTTGGTAGAAATGCAGAGGGAGACCAGGATGGGATGGATGGAGCCTCCASCAGCTCCGTGCAGGAGAACAGGGTGACTTTGGAGGGGTTTTTGTTGCAGGACATCAGTCCCAGCGTGGTGTGTGGCACAGAGCAGTGAGGCAAGGCTGGAATCTGCTAACAATGAGGGCGAGGTGGCTCCCTGCCACCCCCAGAACTGCACGGGCGCGAGGGTTTTCCTTCAGCCAGCCGTGTCCATGCGTTTCCTGGAACRGGGACAAGGCCACACAGCTTCAAGCCACCAAAGACAACAGTAAACAGGCTGGGTTGCTGGGTAGGCTCTGAGTTACACGAGTCAGAGACTGTTTGTTTCCATGGAAGGAAAAAAAGGGAGAAAAAAAATCTCTCAGCAGCAGGATGGGAAGGGATTAGAGCCCTTCACTGGATCTCACATCCAGGTCCACATCCAGCCCTCCAGCATGGCCCTGATCCCCTCCCCACAATCAGCCTGAAAGGACAGAGATTTTATCCCATTATCTGTGGAGACCTATAGAAAATGTCAGGAAAGGGATGGTTAAACACAGTCTTCAAGTCATGGCTTTTTTTTGTTGTGCTTTTTTTTATTTCATCATCTTTTACCGCTCCAAAGGGAGAAACAAATGGCTTTTAGGGGAACGTTTCCATTGAAAAATCCAGCACTGGGGCTGTGTTTTTCTCCACAGGGGCGAGGAGGGGGAGGAAAAGCGTGTGCAGGGATTTCTCTCATTCCGGTTCCTCAGAAGGAGCAGCCCCTTGCAGCACTTCTGGCTCTGGAGGAAACATCTGTGGCTGTGACCACGTTCCTTGGGCAAACCCCCCAGGCTGGGAGGCTGTTGTGTACCAAATGCTTTGATTTCCTCGTTGCCATCTCTTAAAGATTATCTCCCTCCAAGAAAAGGGCAGCATTTCCCATGTTTCCATGTGTAATGTCCSTGCTGTCTGCTATAAACATCATAGAACATTTCCCTGCCCTCTCGTCTGACATAGGTAACAAAATCCCTGCTTTTCATCTTTCAAAGCCCTGCAGAAATGTTTAGGGTCGTGTATCCTGCCATTGTTCTGGGCTGGGCATCCCACTGAAGTGCCTGGGAGAAATGAGTTCAGGATATGGATCTATCTGGTCCATCTCTGCAGCGGCCCCTGGAACATCCACGTTTTACAGATGGCAAAGCGGAGATGGCTCCTGATAGACTGGAGGCAACTAGTGATTCCCACTGCTTGGGAAAACAACAGCAGGACAGGCCAAAAACTCATCAAAAGCTT